AAGGCAGGCAGGTGGATACGGTCAGGAGTTTCAAGACAGGTGGTCAGTGCTGAACCCGTCTCTACTAAAATACGGAAATTACTGGCGTGGTGGACCGCCTGTAATCCCAGGCTACTTGGTTAGCATGAGCAGGATATCGCTTGGAACCCGGGTGCAGAGTGCCGTGAGCTGAGTGGAGCCATGACTCCTCCTGGGCGAAGAGGCAGGATCGTCTCCAGAAAGGAATTTAGGAGGTTGAAAATGGGCTTTTTTGTTTGAAAGGAAACCAAGCTATTACTATTGAAATGTTGTTTGCATTTAAAAATCTTAGGCCCGGGCGCGGTGGCTCAGGCGTGTAATCCCGCACTTTGGGAGGCCGAGACGGGGATCACGAGTCAGGATCGAGGGGACCATTGGCTGACCGGTGGAAACCCCCGGCTCTACTAAAATACAAAAAATAGCCGGGCAGGTGGCGGGCGCCTGTAGTCCCAGCTACTCGGGAGGCTGAGGCAGGAGAATGGCATGAACCCGGGAGGCGGAGCTTGCAGTGAGCCAAGATCACGCCACTGCACTCCAGCCTGGGCGGCAGAGCAAGACTCTGTCTCAAAAAAAAAAGAAAACTCTTAGGGTTTTTTATGGCCAGGAGCTGTGGCTCACGCCTGTAATTGCAACATTTTGGGAGGCCAAGGCAGGCAGATCACCTGAGGTCGGGAGTTTGAGACCAGCCTGACCAACATGGAGAAACGCCTGTTCTATTAAAAATACAAAATTAGCTGGGCGTGGTGGCACACACCTGTAATCCCAGCTACTCAGGAGGCTGAGACAGGAGAATCGCTTGAACCCGGGAGGCGGAGGTTGTGGTGAGCTGAGATCACGCCATCGCACTCCAGCCTGGGCAACAAAAGCAAAACTCGGTCTCAAAGAAGGAAAAAAAACTCCGGGTTTTTTCCTTCAATCTGCGTGCTGTTGTGTGCTTTCTTTCCATTAATTCACTTAGGGAGATCCACTGTGATCTTATTATCTAGAATTTGTTAAAGGTAGATTTCTCTCATTTTATAGATAAGAGAATGGAGACCCAGACACATAGGATCATACGTCAGTGATTCAGTAAAAATGTAAATAACTTATAGTTTCAGTGAGGCTCTTTGAGGTTGACATGGCCCTTCTTTTTAATTTTGCAGGGATAAACACACTTGTTACCTATGATCTGGTTCCAGAGCCCAAAATCATTGATGCTGCTTTGCGGGCATGCAGACGGTTAAATGATTTTGCTAGTACAGTTCGTATCCTAGAGGCTGTTAAGGTCAGTGAAATAATAATGCTAAAATTGTTCTGTAAATGAGTGGGCTATTGCTGAGGTATCAGCATATTCTATATTTTTGAATTTGTTAAAATGCCTAAAATGAGTCTTTATATAACTAGAAGGAATGTATATTGCAGTTAAAATCTTTCTAGAGGCTACTTTGGCAGCATTTATTCAAGGCTTTACAAATTGTACATGACACTTTTGTTCAGCAATTCCATTTAAGAATTTATCTTTTTTCTTTTCTCTCTCTCTTTTTCTTTTTCTTTTTTTCTTTTTTTTTTTTTTTTTTTTAGAATTTATCTTGGCCGTGTGTGGTGGTTCACGCCTGTAATCCCAGTACTTTGGGAGGCCGAGGCGGGTGGATCACCTGACGTCAGGAGTTTGAGACCAGCCTGGCCAACATAGTGAAACCCTGTCTCTACTAAAAATATAAAAAGTAGCCAGGCGTGGTGGTGCATGCCTGTAATCCCAGCTACTCAGGAGGCCGAGGCAGGAGAATCACTTGAACCCGGGAGGCGGAGGTAGCAGTGAGCTGAGATCGCGCCATTGCACTCCAGCCTGGGCAACAAGAGAGAAACTCCGTCTCTTAAAAAAAAAAGAATTTATCAAGGAACAATTAAGGGTATATAAAGATTTAACTACAAAGTGTATTCATCTTCTTGCTATTTGTCATAAGAAATGTTAGGAATTCTTAAGAGGTAATTTCCCAGAACTGGTTATACTACACAACTATTGATACTGTAGAAATGTGTTTGACTTTAAACATATTTGCATCTGCTGGGCACGGTGGCTCATGCCTGTAATCCCAGCAATTTTGGGAGACGGAGGTGGGTGGATCCCCTGAGGTCAGGAGTTCGAGACCAGCCTGACCAACATGGAGAAACCCCATCTCTACTGAAAATAAAAAGTTAGCCGGGCGTGGTGGTACATGCCTATAATCCCAGCAACTCGGGAGGCTGAGGAAGGAGAATTGCTTGAACTCAGGAGGCAGAGGTTACAGTGAGCCGAGATGGCACCATTGCACTCCAGCCTGGGCAACAAGAAAGAAAAACTCCGTCTCGGCCGGGCGCAGTGACTCACGCCTGTAATCCCAGCACTTTGGGAGGCCGAGGCGGGCGGATCATGAGGTCAGGAGATCGAGACCATCCTGGCCAACATGGTGAAACCCCGTCTCTACAAAAAGAAATACAAAAAATTAGCTAGGCATGGTGGAAGGCGCCTGAGGCAGGAGAATGGCATGAACCCAGGAAGCGGAGCTTGCAGAGATTGTGCCACTACACTCCAGCCTGGGCGACAGAGCCAGACTCTTGTCTCAAAAAAAAAAAAAAACGAGAGAAACTCCATCTCAAAAAAATACATATACATTATATTAAAACATAGGAGGATGTATACCAATTTTCCTCCCTCTTATTTGGTTATAATTTCTGAGTTTATATATTTTTTTGAGACAGAGTCTTGCTCTGTCGCCCGGTCTAGAGTGTAGTGGCGTGATCTTAGCTCACTGCCACGTCTGTCTCCTGTGTGCAAGTGATTCTTCTGCCTCAACCTCCCTCCCGAATAGCTGGGATTACAGGCACCCGCCACCACGCCCAGCTAGTTTTTTTATTTTTTAATAGAGATGGGGTTTCACCAGGTTGGTCAGGCTGATCTTGAACTCCTGACCTCAGGTGATCCACCACCTCAGCCTCCCAAAGTGGTGGGATTACAGGCGTGAGCCACGCTGCCCGGCTGAGTTTCTTTGTAATAAATACATTGCATTTTTAAAAATACAATTTTAAAAAGTACAATTAAGGAGCTCTAGAGTTTTTTGAAGGCAGAAGAAGAGCAACTTGGCACTTTTTTTTGTTTTTTTGAGACAGAGTTTCACTCTTGTTGCCCAGGCTGGAGTGCAATGGTGTGATCTTGGCTCTCTGCAACCACCACCTACCAAGTTCAAGTGATTCTCCTGCCTCAGCCTCCCGTGTACCTGGGATTACAGACAAATTTTACCATGCCTGGCTAATTCTGTATTTTTAAGAGACGGGGTTTCTCCATGTTGGTCAGGCTGGTCTTAAACTCCCAACCTCAGTTGATCCGCCCACCTCAGCCTCCCAAAGTGCTGGGATTAGTCATGAGCCACCACGCCCGGCCGACACTTTCTTAGTTCTTTTGACTTTTTATTAATTCCTGAGGAATCTTGTGACAGCACAGATGTAACTATAACAGTGAATAGTCTCCAGCCCTGGATATATGTATTCTCAAAGTACAGCTTTCCATGAAAAGATACTATGGTCTGTAAAAAAAGAAACTCAAGGTCTGTTAACTGCGAAAGTGTGACATTACTTTATCTATAATGGGTAAGATAATTAAGGGTTCTGTAGGCTATCAATCCATTCAACACTGGTAGTTAATTCAGTTAGGGTCTCAAATTAGAAGCAAATGAAAAAACTTTTCCCGTGTTAACTTAATTATTCGTGTTGCCTGCTGGGCATGTCTAATTGCCTTCACAAAATTCTGTCATCACTACCTTCTTTTCCAGTAATTCTAGACTTTAAGATGTTTTTTCTGGATTTAGTCCAATTGCAGTTATTCTCAAGGTATCTCAAAAACCTCCCTTGAACAGTACATATATAAGTTGCCCTCTTTATTTTTATTTATTTATTTATTTATTTATTTATTTTTGAGACGGAGTCTTGCTCTGTCACCCAGGCTGGAGTACAGTGCTACGATCTCAGCTCACTCCAACGTCTGCCTCCCTGGTTCAAGCAATCCCAAGTAGCTGGGATTACAGGGGCATGCCACCACACCCGGCAAATTTTTGTATTTTTAGTAGAGACCGGGTTTCACCATGTTGGTCAGGATGGTCTCAAACTCCTGACCTTGTGATCCACCTGTGTCAGCCTCCCAAAGTGCTGGAATTACAGGCATGAGCCACAGCACCCAGCAAGTTGCCCTATTTATTGAACAAATGTGTTAACTTAAAAGTAGATGACTTTTTTTTTTTTTTTTGAGACAGTCTTGTTCTGTCACCCAGCCTGGAGTGCAGTGGCGTGATCTCGACCCACTGCAACCTCTGCCTCCCAGGTTCAAGCCGATTCTCCTGCCTCAGCCTCCCGAGTAGCTGAGGTTACAGGCATGTGCCACTACACCTGGCTGATTTTTGTATTTTTAGTAGAGATGGGGTTTCACCATGTTGGCCAGGCTGGTCTCAAACTCCTGACCTCAAGTGATCCACCTGCCTCGGCCTCCCAAAGTGCTGGGATTATAGGCATGAGCCACTGCGCCCAGCTGATGACCTGTATTATTAATTCTGCCCTGCTTGCCTCTGCATATGTAATTAAAAGCATTTTTTAAGTTCATTTCATGAATTAATAGACATGGCTTTTGAGAGTTAAATGTGAATATTCTTTTTGCCATCAGGACAAAGCAGGACCTCATAAGGAAATCTACCCCTATGTCATCCAGGAACTTAGACCAACTTTAAATGAACTGGGAATCTCCACTCTGGAGGAACTGGGCCTTGACAAAGTGTAAACCCCATGGGTAAGCGAGAAACCACTGAAGAAGGCAGGAAAACAATCCAGAGAGGTGTGGGTGGATGACATTTAAGTGTGCTGTGGTAAGACCTTTCAGTGTTCTTGTTAGGGACTACAGGATGCATGCCACCTCACCTGGCTAGTTTTTGTATTTTTTAGTAGAGACAGGGTTTCACCATGTTGGCCAGGCTGGTCTCAAACCCCTGACCTCGTGATCTGCCTGCCTTGGCCTCCCAAAGTGCTGGGATTACAGGCTTGAGCCACTGTGCCTGGCATCATTGTTTCCTTATGGGTATAAAGGCAAAAGCCACCTTAATTAAAGAAAAATCTTTATAAAATATTTTAGCCATAAACAGTAGCATAGTACAGGGAGTCTGTGTACACATATCCAGATTTTCAGATACTTTTATTGTTGCCACATTTGCTTTGGTGTTTTTAAAGTATTTCTGTTTGGGGTGGGCACTGTGGCTCACGCCTGTAATCGCAGCTTTTTGGGAGGCCAAGGTGGGCAGATCACAAGGTCAGGAGTTCAAGACCAGCATGGTGAAACCTTGTCTCTACTAAAAATACAAAATTTAGCCGAGTGTGGTGGCATGCGCCTTTAGTCCTAGCTACTCGGGAGGCCAAGGCAGGAGAATCGCTTGAACCCAGGAGGCAGAGGTTGCAGTGAGCCGAGACTGCGCCATTGTACTCCAGCCTGGGTGACAGAGTAAGACTGTGTCTCCAAAAAAAAAGAAGAACTTGGCTGGCAACAATGGCTCATGACTGTAAGCTCAGCATTTTGGGAGGCTAAGGTGGGAGGATTGCTTGAGTTCAGGAGTTTGAGACCGGCCTGAGCAACACAGTGAGACCCTGTCTCTGTTAGTTAATTAAATACATACATACATACATACGTACATACTACAAACAAAAATACTCAGAATTCAAGGAATTTTTATATTCAGTCTTCCTGTTGAGAAACTGAACAGAAAATGCCTAAAACTTTGTCATCTACTTTTAGGATTTTTTTTTTTTTTGAGACAGAGTCTCACTCTGTCACCCAGGCTGGAGTGCAGTGGCACGATCTTGGCTCACTGAACCTCCGCCTCCCAGGTTCAAACTGATTCTTGTACCTCAGCCTCCTAAGTAGCTGATCTTACAGGCATGAGCCACCATGCCTGGCTAATTTTTGTATTTTTAGTAGAGACTGGGTTTCACCATGTTGGCCAGGCTGGTCTTGAAATCCTGACCTCAGGTGATCCACCCACCTTAGCCTCCCAAAGTGCTGAGATTACAGGCGTGAGCCACCGTGCCCAGCTGGGATCTCGTTTTTTTTTTTTTTTTGAGAGGGAGTCTCGCTCTGTCGCCCAGGCTGGGATGCAGTGGCCGGATCTCAGCTCACTGCAAGCTCCGCCTCCTGGGTTTACGCCATTCTCCTGCCTCAGCCTCCCGAGTAGCTGGGACTACAGGCGCCCGCCACCTCGCCCGGCTAGTTATTTTTTGTATTTTTTAGTAGAGATGGGGTTTCACCTTGTTAGCCAGGATGGTCTCGATCTCCTGACCTCGTGATCCGCCCGTCTCGGCCTCCCAAAGTGCTGGGATTACAGGCTTGAGCCACCGCGCCCGGCCGGGATCTCGTTTTAAAGCTTGCTTTAAAGGAGTGGTATTTTTGTTTGCTTTTATTTAATTAATTAATTTATTTTTAATTTTGTTATAGAGACAGGGTCTCACAATGTTGCCCAGGCTGTTCTCAAACTCCTGGGCTCAAGTGATCCCTCCACCTTGGCCTTCCAAATTATTTGGGTTTCAAGTGTGAGCCAAAAGCAATGGTCTTTTCATTTTATCTTTGTCCCCCTCCTCACCAGCACAGCCTCCCTGAAGTAGCTCATCTTTATAATATATGCAATGGTTTTGACTTCTATGAGTACTTACAGAAAACTAGTTGTGCAGAATGGAAATTTTCCTAGTTATACTTTTGAAGCTCTTGCTTGCTTGTTTTGTTGTTGTTGTTTTGAGACGGAGTCTCACTCTGTCATCCAGGCTGGAGTGCAGTGGCACGACCTCTGCTCACTGCAACCTCTGCCTCTCAGGTTCAAACAATTCTCATGCGTCAGCCTCCCTAGTAGCTGGGATTACATGTGCCCACCACCATGCCCGGTTCATTTTTGTATTTTTATTAGAGACCGGGTTTCGCCATGTTGGCCAGTCTGGTCTTGAACTCCTGACTTCAGGTGATCCGCCTGCCTCAGCATCCCAAAGTGCTGGGATTATAGGTGTGAGCCACTGTGTCTGGCCCTGTGGTTCATATTCTATAATAGACTCCTAAAAGTTTGTTTTAGTTTTATTTAGTATTATTCCGAGGGGTCTAGGAGATCTTTTTTCTGTAAGATATATTCTAGCTATACTGACTTTTTCTTTTTCTTTTTTTTTTTCTTTTTTTTTGGAGACAGAGTCTTGCTCTGTTGTCCATGCTAGAGTGCAATGAAGCGATCTTGGCCCATTGCAACCTCCGCCTTCCGGTTGAAGCGATTCTTGTGCCTTAGCCTCCCGAGTAGCTGGGACCACAGGCGTGGGCCAATACACCAGGCTAATTTTTTGTATTTTAGTAGAGACGGGGTTTCACCGTGTTGCCCAGAGTGGTCTCGAACTGCTAAGCTCAGGCAATCTACTCGCCTCGGCTTCCCAAAGTGCTGGCATTACAGGCGTGAGCCACTGTGTCTGGCCCAAAAAAAAATATTTTTGAAAAATGGCAGGCCGGGCGTGGTGGCTCAAGCCTGTAATCCCAGCACTTTGGGAGGCCGAGACGGGCGAATCACGAGGTCAGGAGATTGAGACCATCCTGGCTAACATGGTGAAACCCCGTCTCTACTAAAAAATACAAAAAACTAGCCAGGCGAGGTGGCGGGTGCCTGTAGTCCCAGCTACTCGGGAGGCTGAGGCAGGAGAAGGGCGTAAACCCGGGAGGAGGAGCTTGCAGTGAGCTGAGATCTGGCCACTGCACTCCAGCCTGGACGACAGAGCCAGACTCCGTCTCAAAAAAAAAAAAGAGAAAAATGGCAACTACTGAGTGCTTTTCTGATTGGGAAGGAAGTACCAATGGTATAAACAACAAAAAAAACACAAAACTAGTCCCTTGTGGGTTGACAGTAGGCAGGATTAAGTAAGAGCAGTAAAGGGTACAGAGAGATGGTAATTTCCCTGGTTGTAGCGCTAATGGTTATTTTTAAAAGATTTCTACCTTTTCTTTATTCTTTTCCCGGCTAATTCTTTGTGTTTTCTCTTACAGATGGGCTTCCCCACGGATTTATTGACACTGCTACTTGAGTGTGAACAGTTACCTGGAAATACTGATGATAACATATTACCTTATTTGAACAAGTTTTCCTTTATTGAGTACCAAGCCATGTAATGGTAACTTGGACTTTAATAAAAGGGAAATGAGTTTGAACTGAAATTAGGTATTTGTTTCATGTGTTTGCATTAATAAGCAGAAAATTAAGTGCCGTATTGGTTTCATGGTTTTGTTGGCCTCTCACATGCTGAGAGAACTGTGTTAATTCTCTGGAAATCATCTGACATGAAAATCAGTTTCATTAATATGTTTGGGTGCCCTAGCTGGTAAAGTAGCTGAAAGCCAGAAGTCGTTTATATAGAATTTTCTTGTTGACACCCTAGGCTTAGGGGACTGGTTGTCTGTGGGGATGGATCAAATTGTGTACCTTTCCAAAACAGGTTTTAATGATGTTTAAAAGTGGTCACTGAGATAGTCTTGAGGATGTGCTATGCAGTAGCCAAGCCCTCTTATGGTGTGTTCCTCTCTTAGTGCTCCTTTCCTTCCCTACCTGTTCTTCCCTTGCAGTGGTGTATTAGCCTTGGACATTAAAACATTTGCTTTGTAAATTTGGAGGCATTCTGATTAAACAGCTGAGTAAAACAAATCCTGCTTGTGTTAGAAGCACCATAATACTAGAACTAGTTGCTGGATAAAGAGGTTCTAGATCTGGGTCACTTCCAGTATAGCCAGTCCAGACTGCAGTGTCAGGGAAATCGGATTAATATTAGCTTGAAATTCAGATGTCTGGCCAGGCGTGGTGGCTCATGCCTGTAATCCCAGCACTTTGAGAGGCCCAGGCAGGCGGATCATGAGGTCAGGATACTGAGACCATCCTGGCTAACACGGTGAAACCCCATCTCTAGTAAAAATACAAAAAATTAGCTGGGCGTGGTGGCAGGTGCCTGTAGTCCCAGCTACTCGGGAGGCTGAGGCAGGAGAATGGCATGAACCTGGGAGGCGGAGCTTGCACTGAGCCAAGATCGCACCACTGCACTCCAGACTGGGTGACAGAGCAAGACTCTGTCTCAAGAAAAAAAAAAAATTCAGATATCTTCTCTCCTAGAGCCATGTAAGGGATTGTAATTAAAATCAGTTTTGGTGAAGTTCTAATACTTTGAGACCTTTTATAAAACCCCCCTGCCCAGTTTTTAAGAAGTAGAAATGTGAAATAAACTAAAATGGCACATACGTTTAATGTATAGTTGGTAGGCTGTGGTTCTTAGGTTTGGTCCCACTGTGGGCCAGTGCTTTCCTCCTCACTGCAAAATGAGTAAAAATGGTCTCTGTTCCTCATGTCATGGGAGGAGCAAAGGAAGGAACATAGGTTCACAGTTATCTATGAGGGTGAGATAAATGCTGTGATGGTCTTCATGCTACAAAAATTTATCGAACACCTACTGTATAACAAACATGCCAGGCACTGAAGGTAAAGCAGTGAACAGGAGAGACAGTGAATATTGGAACCTGGAGACACTGGAGGTAGGAATAAAACTTAGGCACAGTGTAGTTATAACTTAATGGGGATTTTGAATTAGGGTAGTAGCCATAGGAATGGAAAGGGATGAATTTTGAGAATCACATTATTGAGGTTTGTTGATAACTAATTTGATGAGGGGAAATGAGAACTCTGGGAAGGCCATCTTGAGATTTGAGTGGTGGTGCCATTCATACAGGAGTCAGCAAAAGGAGGAGCTTGATGCAGAGTGGAGAAATTGCTACATGTGATTCTGGATCTGTTAAATTTCAGACATCAATGCGCAAGTTACGCCAAGAGCTCTGAAAAGAGACTGAGACTAGAGAAAAGAATTTAAGGTTTGAAACAGCAAAAATTAAGACTTCCAAGGAGACTGTTTGGAGGCAGATGTGAACTAGGTTGAAGTCTGAAATTGTGGGAGCAGGTACATTGAGAGTGAAAGAAGAGAGCAACATTAGTAAGGTATAACTTATATGCAGCCAAGTATGCAATTTTTTTTTTTTTTTTTTTGAGACGGAGTATCGCTCTGTCGCCCAGGCTGGAGTGCAGTGGCGGGATCTTGGCTCACTACAAGCTCCGCCTCCCAGGTTCACGCCATTTTCCTGCCTCAGCCTCCCGAGTAGCTAGGACTACAGGCGCCTGCCACCACGCCCAGCTAATTTTTTGTATGTTTAGTAGAGATGGGGTTTCACCATCTTAGCCAGGATGGTCCCGATCTCCTGATGTCGTGATTCGGCCTCCCAAAATGCTGGGATTACAGGCATGAGCCACCACGCCTGGTGTAAATCTTAAAGTATGTAGCTTGAGATTTTACATGTGTATACCTGTGAAATGCTGAATGGAGCCATTTTTGTGAGGATTAAATGACACTAAATGAAGCTAGTAAGCAAATACCGATGCTCAACAATTTTTTTTTTTTTTTTAAAGACAGAGTGTCACTCTGTTGCCCAGGTTGGAGTGCAGTGGCATGATTTTGGCTCACTACAACGTCCCCCTCCTGGGTTCAAGCGATTCTTGTGCCTCAGCCTCCCAAGTAGCTGGGATTACAGGCATGCACCACCATGCACTGCTAATTTTTGTAATTGTAGTAGAGATGGGATTTCACCATGTTGGCCAGGCTGGTGTCGAACTCCTGACCTCAGGTGATCCACCTGCCTCGACCTCCGAAAGTGTTGGGATTACAGGCATGAGCCATCGCACCCGGCCAGATGCTCAAGAAATTTTAATTTATTGGCCATGTTTTTGTGGGCAGTTGAGGCCAGATTGCAGGAGGCGAAGGAGTGATCTTAGGCAATGAGGGTGATTTGAAAGATGGTGAGGGTTGAGGCATTGGCCTTTTACAAGCAGAAGATTTAGTATGTAGCTGGATAGAACTAGTAGATGGAAAGTGTTCTTGTTGCCTTTGCCTTTTTCTAAAATGTGTTTTTGTTTCGTTTTGAGATGGTCTTGCTCTGACACAGGCTGGAGTGCAGTGATGCGATCATGGCTTAATGTAGCCTCGACTTCCTGGGCTCCAACAATCCTTCCATCTTAGCCTCCAGAGTAGCTGGGACCACAGGCATGCACCACCACACCCGGCTGATTTTTGTGGTTCTGGTCTCATGTTGCCCAGGCTGGCGTCAAATTCCTGAGTACAAGCTCTCTGCCTGCCTTGGCTTCCCAGAGTGCTAGGATTACAGGTGTGAGCCACCACAGCCGGCCTCCTTTGTATCTTAGGTAAGGTTGAGATTTCAATGTTTTATTTTACCTGATTCACTCATCTATACCCTTAGAAGGAAACAGGTACTCTGGTAAGGTTTTTTTGTTTTTGTTTTTGTTTTTGAGACGGAGTCTTGCTCTGGCGCCCAGGCTGGAGTGCAGTGGCACGATCTTGGCTCACTGCAACCTCTGCCTCCCAGGTTCAAGCAATTCTCCTGCCAGGAGATTCTCAGAATATTTCTGCGGTACACACTCTGGAGCAACACGTTTATTAATATCAAATCTCGCGGTGCCTCCGTTGATTGAGTAACCTGGCACTTCCACACCTGCTATAACCCAGCACGTTCTTGGGGACGCGATAACTAAGAGGTGTGTGTTCAGCGTGGCGGATCACAAGGTTGCGGAGGTGATTATCAAGACCTTGCCATTACTCCATACAGAACCTCAAGTGGACCTAACTTGGGCAGAGACAGACCTGAAAGCCAGTTCTCTTCATCTAAAAATATAAAAAAATTTAGCTGAGCGTGGTGCCCAGTGCCCACTGTGGTCCAGCTACTCGGGGAGGCTGAAGGCAGAAGAATCAGTGTGAAACCTGGAAGGCGAGTTGCAAGTGAGCCTGAGATTGCGACACTGCAGCTCCAGCCTGGGCAACAGGGGCGAGACCTCTGTCTCAAAAAAAAAAACAACAAAGAATTCAGAATATGGCTGGTCCATTAATAAGGTCTTTAGTTGGCAACACCAGTCCACAAACCCCCTGTTTCCATGCATTACATATTATTGGGCCCTTTCTTTTTTGCTTTTTTTAGTAAGATTATGTAAGATCCATACATAAAATGTTTGCCATCTTGATGAATTTTAAGTTTTGTTAAGTTCAGTGGCATTAGGTACATTTACATTTGCTTATGCATGCTGCTTTTGCATTAAAATGACAAAGTGGTATTGGAACATGAGTACTTTACTATTTGACCTGTTTGCAGATTAAGTTTGCCTCACTCGCTTCTCAATTTACTAGAGAATGAATTCATTTAATTATACTTTACCACTAAGAACGCAAACTTTCACAAAATATACTCACTAAACGTCTATGTGCATTTTCACAATAGAAGTCGCATAAATGTAACTTTAATAGATTCCTCAATGCCCCATTCTATCCTGTGTAGAGAATAATAATTATGTACTCTAGTGCAGACTTTCTTCGACATCTACACATTACCTCAACTGCCGTATGTTTTGAATAGAGCGCGCAATTCCTGTTCAAAAACATTATACGAAAATATATCAAATATGTTTTTAGTCATAGGCCGTTCGTGAGAGGGTGTCACGCCAATATATAAAGTTCCTTCTCTCCATTCTCCTGGGCTGGTTCTTTTGACCTTTTCCTGATGGTATGCTTTTGCAAGCACAAAGTTTGGTATTTTGATGGAAGTCCTAATTTATTTAATACTTTTTACTTTTGGCTTGTACATTTGGCATTGTGGTCTAAGAAGGTTTTGTGTTAACTCAAAGTTGTAGAGATTTACTCCACATTTTTCTTCTAAGACTTTATATAGCTTTAGCACTACATTTGCTAATGTAGAGTGCAGGAAACAAAGTTAAACTTCACTGTTTTTGTCCTCTGGATCTGGAGACCACTCTATGAGAAAACAATTCTTTCCTCCATTTATTTTCCTCTCACCCTTGGTTAAAAATCACCTGACCAAAAATTAGGGCTGATGTGTACTTCTTTGGTTCTGTGTCCCACTGCTTTATATAGCTTGTTCCCTTATGCCCGTTATACTAGGCTCAACTCGGGAGTAGTGACACGTTGAAGGGCATTGGGAATGGATTAGTGTATATGGTAATCCTGGGTGAGTGCGGAAACAGTGTGGAGAGGCCAACATCTGTGTTTTGCGACATCATCTGTCTACTTCCTCCTGTCTCCTGGCTAACATGTGTACGCAAATATGAT